TCCAAAGGGTAAATAATAGGTATGCTCCTATTTGACACAATACAATTTGAACTGATTCAATTTATCCATTCACTTAAATTTCTTGACAAGGAGAAGGATGCTTTCTTATATATTGAACTTCACATTAAAAACTTTATTAGTAGAATTAGTTAGTTAAGAGTTTATTAAAATTATATTTTTATTTCAATTTCCTATTAGTGACAAATATGCAATTTGAATTATATTGTTGTGATTAAGTATTGATTTTTTAAATCTTAGTTTGTAGCCTCTAATATTATGCCCTGTGGGATCGATACCCAAGACTCCATTAGAGCCCAGTACTACTTGAGTGATACGTATACTTGCGTTGATAAGTGTAACTTTGCAATTATTGAATATTTTATACACATCTTTATCAAATCTATAGCCGTTGTCAAGTTTTTGGCACCGTTGCCGGAGATTTAAATCTTCTAGTAGCAGTATCAAATTCTTATATTTTAAAGCATATATGAAGTCACTGTCAAGTTATTGGCGCCGTTGCCGGGGATTTAAATCTTCAAGCAGCAATATCAATTTCTTGTATTTTTAGGCATATATAAAGTCGCTGTCATTTGGCTTCCTGAGAAAAAGAAGACTATTGGGTGCAAAAGGCTAGTAGTATCAAAAAAAGAAGAAAAATTCATGGCTCGACTCGTAGCAAAGGGATTTTTCACATTATAAAGGGATATATTATGATAAAAAAAATTTTTATGGTTAGACAAACTTCAATCTGGGCAGTGCTTGCATTAGTTGTTGTTTAGGAACTGCATCTAGAGCAGATGAATGTTAAAACTGCATTTTTGCATGATGATTTGTAGGAGTAGATTTACATGGAGCCGACACAAGGGTTCACTCAATCTATACATGAGCATCTGGTTTGCAGGTTAAAGAAATTGATGTTTGGGTTGAAACTGTCTCAAAGAAAATGGTATAAGTGGTCGACTTTTACATTTATTAATTGGTTACAAGTGATGTGAGTATGATTGTTGTGTTTATGTTTAGAGCTTTGATGATGGTTCTTTATTTCTGTTGCTACTGTATGTTGATGATATACTGATTGCTGCAAAAAATCTGCATGATGTCATTGACTTGAAAGTTTTATTGAGTCAGGAATATGATAAGAATGACTTGGGTGCTTCAAAGAAAATTCTTGCAATGGAGATTGACCAAGACAGAGGCTCAGGACGACTGTGGTCATCACAACGGGAGTATGTTGAAAAAGTGTTAGACAGATTCGAAAAGAGCAAAACAAAGCCTGTGAGCACTCCTTTGATAAATCATTTTAAGTTTTCTTTAGATCAGTGTCATAAGACAGATACGAAAACTGAAGACATGACAAAGGTTCCTTATGCCAATTTGGTTGGCTGTTTGATGTATGTTATGGTATGCACTCATCTTGACTTGGCTTATGCTGTTAGTATACATGTCTAAACCTGGAAGGCAATATTGGGAAGCAGTCAAGTGGAATTTCAGGTATCTGAAGGGTATATTAGGATATAGAATTATTTTTGACGGTCAATAGAATGATCTTTTAGTTGTTAGATATGTGGATTCAGACTAGGCAGGTGATTTGAACGATAGAAGGTCTATAACTAGCTATCTTTTTACTCTTGGTGGAGGGCCTACATGTTGGAAATCTACAGTTCAGTTAATTGTGGCATTATCTATCTACAACTGAAGCTGAGTACATGGCAGTAGCTGAAGGTGCTAAAGAAGCCTTATGATTTGCTAGGCTACTAAAGGAACTAGGTGTTGAGCAAGGTGGAGTTCAATTGCATTGTGACAGTCAGAGTGTCATTTATCTAGCTAAAAATCATATATACCATGCTATAACTAAGCATATTGACGTGAGGTATCACAAGATCAGAGAATTGATTGCATCTGGTGATATTTTGTTGCAAAGGTTCATACTGATGAAAATGCATCTGATATGTTGACCAAGCCAGTTACTATCAACAAGTTCTTGCATTGCTTGAACTTGTTGAATGTTTGCAGTTGCTATACAGTATGGTATCCCTACCCATTTTGGTCTGTGAGAAACTTCGTGGTATTTTTTTCTCTTAAAGGGGCTTGATATTCGCCAAGGTTGAGAGTTGTTAGGTATGACTCATATACCTGATAAGGGGCAGATGTTAGAGCGGATCTCAGAGGAGTGAGCGGAGTGGAAGCATTTGTCCAAATGGGGGAGTTTTGTTAAGTGGGTTGGAGGTGCAAGGGCAACGACTCAGCCGTGCGGTACAGGGGTATTTTTGTAATTTCATTTTGGGTTCTATTTATATATAATATTTGTAACTCTATGAGAACCAGACTTTCACTTTTTGAATAGAAACTGCCACTTTGCTCCCGATGACATAGGCACATTTTCGAACCTCGTAAAATCTCGTGTTCTTCAATCTTCTTGCGATTTTTTGTTTCTTTCACTTAAAAAATATACTTATTTTTTGCCTTTAGCTTAGTTCTTTAGAAATAATGCTCTTCTTTTTTATTCACGTACGTTAATCCAAAAGAACAATTACTTGCTCATTATATCTAGCTCAATTTATTATTATGATTGTTAAATTCATTACTTTTATTCAAAGAGATTAATGTAATATAGATTTTGATTAAATGTTTATACATTATACATATTCTAAATTAAATATGACAGTTTTGAATTCATTCACATAAATTTTTAATAGAATCTATCCAATTTTTTTATTATCCAAAGTCTCACAAAATAAATCTTGCTTTAATATTAATCCACCGTATTATTAATCCAATCCACCATCACCAACACTTGTCAAATACACACCTTGGGTACTTCATGAAAGGGACTTCGAAAAACTCAACTTTAGTAGTGGGAAATTTTAGACGAGGATATTTCTTATTGATGAATGCAATCTAATAATTGATTATTCATGCATTGCATTAATATTAAAATAAGATTATAATTTTTATGTGATATTAAAGATTTGAGTGGCGTGAATTATGTAAATCAAAGTTGTTAATAGTGTCTTAACTAAGTTTTGCCGCTCCTCTGTCTTCTCAACAGAAAATGAGACAAATAAATAATCCTACCCGTAGTTCGCAAAAAAATTCCCGTGATAATGAAGTGCTATATAGCAATAAGAAAATTTTTACAGAAGAACTGTAGCGTTGACAAAACTACTCGTCTAAATCCATCTTTAAAGACGGCAAAATACTGTACAGTTCATCATCAAAGCTTTTATGTACAATTTCAGTTATAACACGGCAGACGCCTCGTGTACTATTGAACTTGACTCGGTGTCCTGTATGGAATCTCACCTTATATTATTTAAGCCCATTTGCTAACTTCAGGTTAGAAATATAACACGATGAAATTTGTTAAATTCCATCCTTTACACATATAAAAAATGCATAAATGCAAAAAAAAAAAAAAAAAAAAAAAAAGGTGATATTCAAATGCATATTTTCTAGGTAGAACCAACCAAACGGGTATAGAAGGAAAGAATGGATGAAGCAGAAAACTCCATTAGTCGGAGAACTCTTCCAAATCTGAATCTTCATTCTTGAGAAAAAGGTCATAATCCATTTCTGTTCTGTAAGGTACAGCTTTCCCTAACGGTGCATTTTCACCATAATCCCAGTCACCCCAGTCCTGCTCCTCATAACTAGATGACCCATCACTTCTGTTTGAATCATCCCTTCCAGCTTTGAGTTCCACTCTGTGCTGGAATTGAGCAGAGGAGCTACCTTCACTCTTGTCACATATGCAGGTTGAAGGGTTTTCATGAAATTCACCCCTTCCAGGCTTAATCTCATTGGGCTCTCCCATAAATCCTTTCTGGAATGTGCGGACCTTTGACGCAAAGACGTCCCAGGTCATGCTGGTTCTATTCTGACACACAGAATAAAGCTTCTTCGCATTGGGTCTAATGGTCCTCTTGTGCCCAAAATACCTCCTGCAACAGAACATTTAAAATCAGAAAAAAAATTCGAACTCCATAGTTATTAGGAGACCTTAAAACATACCTTCTTCCAGCTAACATTTTTGCCATGTTGCCATTATTATTGGTCACAAATACATCACTTTCATCACAGACGATGTAATCGAGAGCAGCCATGCGTGATGAAAATGGAGAGAATGGTGATAGCTCCTCCTTGCTTGCTAATGTTTCTTTTGAATGAAAGTTAGGGAAAAGAGCCTTAAGTGGTGCCAGTGTTTCCTCCCCTCCATATACTTCTCCAGATGCCACATAGATGTGAACATCATTGCCAAAACCTAATGCTCTCAGCATGAGGCCTACCTCTTCTGGAGTAAGAGGACATCTACCCTGCCTGCGTTCCTTATCTGGATTGCTGGCCTGAATATCATTTTATTGAACTAATTAATTTCACAAGGATAAGTTAAATTTTTTGAATGCAAGAAGAAAACATTACTCACTCACATGTAAGGTTTTCCATCTCTTTCGTATGGCGCCTAATTCCATTCTTTCATTATCACCTCCACCATAGTAGCAGCCGGAGAAAGCAAGCATGTCAGGTTCAAATCTGTTATTATAAGCGTCAAAAAACCATTGAAGGACCTTTAATTTTGTAAAATTAAATTGTAACTGCAATTAGGGCCGTTAACAATCCGATTTCGAGCCGAACTGGGTCAGCTGAAAATCGGCTACAAAAATTTCAATCCAAATTTTGGTTTATTTCGATCAAATTTCGATCCGAGCCAAAATTTGAATCAATTTTTGAGCGATTAATGATCTTCGAGCTAAATTCGCTAAATTCAATCATATATTGTTAACCATCCGATTGTGAGCCAAGCTGAGGCAAGCTCGAAAAAATGCCAATCCAAAATTTTGGCATGCAGCTCGGCTAACATTTTTTTATCCGAACTCGATATGAGCCAAAAATCGAATCAATCATCGAGCGATTAGCGATCTTCGAGCTAAATTCACAGCCCCAACTGCTATTGTTTTATTAGCAGAAGTAAACTTACAGGAAAAAATTTTTTTGGAAGATGTACATTATGTATTTACATATCTAACACCTAAATTTAAATATTTACATTTATGCCAACTTGCCTATGCATGGAAAGGTATATTTCACTTTTTAAAAGTTAAAATAATGGTATTTTTGATGTGATATAAGAGATTTGAGTGGTGTAAATGTAAAAAAAAGTAAACTTTAGGTGTTAGATATGTAAATACATAGGAAATGGATGGTAGTATGTAAAGGACCCAAAAATATTCAAGTGCTATGAACTTAAGTTGAAAACATTAACAAGCAAATAATCTAGAACCGGAAAGAATTCTTGGTTTAATTACTAAATATACAAACTTCACATTGGGGTAAAACAATAGGAAGACATCTACTGTGTAAATCAGGACATAAAACAGATAGAGTCTTCTAATTATACTTTAAACAGTGGAGCACAAATTGTTGGATTGATGCTTTCAAAGCTATCTTGTTCAGTTGAGTACAAAACCGACTGTTATTTATTGATTTGTGGAAGGAATGCCATTCTGCCTCCATCATGCAAATCATGTACGTTGAAAATCATTTATGCTATACAAAAATGGAGATCTTTGGCAAAGGGCCAAAATATTTAAAATAGACAAAAGTACTCCAATAAAAAAGAGTCTTCAAAGTATTGCACAGATTTACATGACAATTTGATACTATAACCAATAGAAGAGATAAATTAGGAAAGATACGAAAGAGTGATGGTCTTGAAAGGATATTCAACAGTTGGCTTGGCAAAGATAATCAACAGTAAATTTAAAATTGAGATTTATTAGATGATCATCTACACTTTTGTTGTCCATGATTTCCTGACAATTTGGAAAATTTTTTTTGAACACCTAGTGCATAAAATGTTAGAAGATAGAAAAGTAGGATTTAAGAGAGCTGTGAACTAAACAGAAGTCTGAATATATGCATGACAGAAAAGTTTAGCATATACAAGTCTAACAAATAACTTCCCCATAAAAAAGTAAATAAATTTCATTAGATAACATTAAACGATTTTAGCTCGAAACATCATATTCTGCATAATTAGAAGTTGTTGGCAAATAAGGGAAGAAATGGCCAATAGACTATGTCCTCACAACTTTTTACAGTTAATTTTACTTTCTGAAAGAGTAAAGTTGAAAAGTGAAGATGAAAATTATAATCAAAATTACAAAGCATGATAGTGCAAGAACAAAAACATTGTCAAATTAAATGGCAGTGTCAAGAGAAGATGATTACCTAAGATGAAGAGCGATGAAATGCTTACTCTTTGATTTCATTCTCTTTGTCAACGTTTCACCCATCTTCCGTATTGGATCGGTGAATCTCAGAGCATGATAGTTAACTCTACACCGCAGTTTCTGAAGATCATTTTCCAATTTATTGGAAAGCCTATAATCAAACTTTGTCAGCTGAACAACCTGCATCATAGTAAAAAACATATTGACCTGGAAAATTATGATTGCATGACACCAAACAATGCACCAGATGGATTCCTGTTCACCATATATAATCCAAATATAATAAGATGAATTGCTAAAGATTACTTTTTAGAAATATGCCAATAGGATTTGCAGCATGTACTTATTTCTTTTAACCTATAAGTGCAAATATGTGTAGTTATAAGTGCTATAAGAATGAAGGTGTGATTATGGAACGTCCATTCATGATCACATGGAAATCCCATTCATTAAAAGCTGGGTAAAAGATTCCCTCAAGTTATAGTAGATTCTTACTGGCTTAGTTTACCAATTTCATTTTCTTGCATCTACGAACCATTTGTATATATTGTGTAAAATGTTTAAAAAATAATATGATGTATAGTTTAGCAAATATGTCTCTGAATGGAATTAACAAAGAGTTTTGGTTTGCAGAAACAACAGGGTAAAAGAGTTTTGGTTTGCAGAAACTTAAAAGCTTACATGTTTTTTCAAAAGAGCAGGAAAAACACGGTTTTGATAGCATATCGGGGTGCACTTCCTTGGTACTCGCATTCTGTAAGGAGTAGCACCAACTATTCCTACCTTGTTGGGGAGCTCTTTTATAATCTTGACATCTTTTGAGAGGGATGAAATGAACCATTGAACATCAAATATCTCAGTGAAATTGCTGTGAAGGTATAGAAAAAAAATTTACAACAAGATCACCCTTCAATCTTCCTTTCAGGAATTTGGCTAAAGCATTCATGAAAAAAATAAAAAAAAAAAGAAAACTGCTGGAACTGAAGCAAACCTTACATCCTTCCAGAAGGACTTTTGGTCCAGCGTAGGAACAACAAGAGTTGCATTCAAAATACGAGCTGCCACAACAGCATCAGTAATCTGAGCCCATCACGAAACCATAAAGAATAAGTCCAAACATGGACAAGTTCAAAAAATAACGTTACAGATATTATGATCTCATTCATGTGAATACATAGGCTTGAAGGAGAATAAAATCATGAAATGCTCTTGATGGCTGAATGTGAAAGGACAGGGTTCAATACTTTTACGTTCTAGACATTGTTAATAAAACCTATGGGAAAATAAAAAGATTATAATTGTATCTATAAATGTCATTAAACATCATTATCAATTTTTATTCCCATGTAAGAAGGTGAGTGGCACCACTAAGTTGCCATAAAGTTAATATACTTACCTTCAGTCAGGCTGCAATGCTGTGTAATTAAATATTTTAAAAAGCACTCCATCATACATGTACCTTCTATCGGGTAAGTAAAGTGGTGAAATTACGTATATTAAAAAGGTTCTGTAACACTGGGCTAATATAACAAAAACAAGCATGCAAAATTGCAAATTATTGAAAAATTTAACTGCCTCAATAAATCATAGAAAGACCCCATCCTTTGAAAATTAGGCCATATCCAATTCAGCCACTGGAAAAAAAAAATCATATAAAATAGAGAATTTTAATAGCTTCACTCAATTATAGAGATGTCCACATCAACAATTAAAAGCTACGTATAGGTAGATCATAAATACGCACAACAGATTCTTAAAAAAAAGAAAAAAAGCTTAATTTTAATGTTCCCAAGTTATATGGAAACTGAAAACTTTAGCAGAACAGGCAGGAAAAATCTCACCCCAGTTCTCTGTTGGTTTAACCCGCCACTTGTTGAGATCATGAGATATCTATCAGGATAAGTGATCGCATCAGCTTCTGCGAACAAGGAAAGAAGTCATTGGAGATTCAACACTGCTCAGAACAATGTTTACAACAAAAAAACATACGGAAAAAGCAATGGCCATGTTTCAATCCTTTCACTGTGGCAAAGCTGAATAACAACATTACATATCAAAGAAACAGTCGGACTCCCATACAATCCTCGGCAGAACATTCTTAAAGCATCCGTGTATCCATAAGAGAGAAAATGGATTCCAAAATACTCAAATTGCACTCCCAAACACAATGCGAACGGCAATTAAAGCAAGAGCTAGCACTTACTTTCAAACTCCTTGCTCGCATTGCTACAACCATAAAAGTACTCTGATCCTTTCGATTCCCAGATATCGCTCTCCATCACATCGCCTCCGCTCTGCAATCCAATTCTCCACTAGTCGTCATCAAAGATCGCAAGCAACACAAGATTTACATCAATCAAATCAAGAAGGAACGGATCAAAAGTACAAACCGGCACCCGAAAAATCACCTTCCCCTCACTCTCCACGGGCTTTGCCAGCTACATAAACATCAAATACAAGCACAAAAAACCATCAGAAACGCATAAAATGGATCCATTAAAAAAAAAAAAAAACAAACAAACAAACAATGCAGAAGAACAATCCATTCATACTTACGAGTATTGAGGAACGCCTCGCCTTCCGCGAGTGCTCCGGCTGGTTCGGAAACGCCGGATGTTCAAGAAGCGGAGGCGCGAGAACCATAAGGAATGCCAATAACATGAATATAAGCAGCGCCGCAGCCGAGATCGCTGTCATACCAGACATTCCCGCCGCCGTCACCATCCTCTCATGGTGCCGCCTCCTCTGAAAAGCCATCTCTGTTCTTCGTCTTCTCTCTCTCTCTCTCTTACCGAAACTCTCCTCGTAGGAGGCGCGAAGGAGATGAAACAAAACTGGGAAGCACGTAAGGAAATCAATTAAAAAAAATTCAATGATAGCGATAATGGTGGTTTCCGTATCATTTTCTATTTGCCTTCAACCTTCAGCATCTCTGATATCTCACCTTTTCCTTTGTGGTAATAATGCATAAAATATGAGAGCAAGCAACGGATACCGATCCGCCAGCTCCGGCTCTGACTCTGACTTTTTTATTTATTTTACTTATTATTTTAAAAAATCACTCATTCCGAATCGGGTTCTCACGTGATAGCTGCCCCCCGTGAGGATTAATATTTTTGGATAATATTTTCTTAATATAATCATCACTGTTCGGGATTTACGTTAAACCTCACGACGACAGATTACCCGCTAGCATATTGGCCAATTTAGGTTTTTTATTGTTTTATAACTGATTGTGCAAATTTATCAAGAATTCGATCTCTATCCGACCAACAATGCTGAAACTGCTAAAAGCTAATTTTGGCAATACTATCGACGCCTTATCAATTTGAGCTAGCATTTGTAATCACGAAATGCAATTTTGCTATATTCGGAAAAAGTTTATATGCCATGTATCCAACCGGAAGATCCGAATTGATCATTTTGTTAATTTAGAATGTAAATTAAGGTTGATCTGACCTAATTAAAATCCAGCTCAATAATTCATATATCAAATAATATGAGTTTTTTAAAACTATTAATTTTTTTCAGCAATCAAATTGTTTTCACAAGTATGATTCTTATGCAATCAAATTCACTTGAACTTGATTAATTAAAACATTTTGAGGATTTGAACCACGCCGAGAAGCCCACAATTGATGAATGTACCTTAAAAGGTGTTTGGGGAAGATTTTTTGTCACGGTGAATCACCAAAATACAAACACTCACTTTTGTTTATCACAGTTCGGGAGTATTTAATGAAATGCACTTTCATTTTTACTTTTAATGAATGTACCAATGTTCTTTGATGACAAGAGGAATCAAATTCATGGGCTTGACAACCACCCATTTGCTTTTGATTCATTTAAATGTGATTTTTTTGGAAAATTTTGGAAGCTCTTAGCTCGATTAACATTGTTTTCCATTGAGGGCCTTAATCCTCCAGTATTTTATATCTTTAAATTTTTTTTTTTGGTTATCTTTATTCTTCATTACTTGTGGTCTCTGTCTTAGTGGATTTGTTATTTTGTCTCGGTGGAGTTGTTCTCTATGGTTTGTGGTGTTTGTCTATGCAAATTCATGGTTAATGTATATGCAATGTTGTTTAGAGTTGAATGATGTTTTGGTGGAAGGATTAGGTGTTCTTGTGCAACCACCCATTTGTTTAAGATTCGTTTATTTTGGAAAATGGTTCAGAAAAGTTTGGAAATAAACAACCTTTGCATAGTTATTCAGTGGGTTCGTTCTTTGTGGGGGTATGACTCATGTCATTGCCAATTCACAGTTATTCAACATGAAGTATGCAATGTTCTTAACAGATGTACAAATCCATTTTTATTTACTAAGGAAATAGTTTTTTGTTGTGTGGAGATTGAAACAAATTGGTAAGAAGAAAAAAGAAATGTCGCTAGCAAGTTTCATAATTGGTTCTCAATATTCAAATTAAGTCATCAATGACAATAATACTTTTTATTGAATATAGAAAGATAATATATTGAATTGTTTAGTGTGCCTTAAATGAAAACTGCATAGCAACAAATTGCTAAAGTTAAGCATATATTTGATGAAAGCATTGACTAGAGGTAGAACTACTTATATATTATTAAAGAACTTTCTAATTATAGTAGAATTACAACATGGATTAGCGTTGTGTTTATTTCTATTTGATTGTTTTGGTTTGCGATCAATGACATTACTAATCCATGCTATGTTGAGCATTAACAACTGCCTTTCACAGCGTTGGTGCGTTTAATTAAATACACCGTCATTTTTACGACGTCATCGCTCACTCATGTGTTTTGGTTTTATTTAAATAAAACATTCACAAGGTTCAAGGCCATGGTGTATTGAGTTCACCCATTACTTTTATTTAAAATTTGATGATCATTTTTTATAATGAAGTTAGCTATTTTTACTTTTGTTTCTTGTGTGCAAGAGATTTGGTCGAGATGATGACTTTTTTCTTAATTTTATTTGTTTTTTTTATGCATTGGCTTTAGAGTGAATTTGCTTATTACCACTTTTTAGCCATATCGAGAATGGTTTGATTGACCTGTGTTTTTATAATAAGATCAAGTTTTTGTTTGTAAGAATTTATGAGTGCTGGTTCTTTTCCCACAGGTAGTGGTGATGGGCAAGACAATAGAAACTGGACTACCTATTATGTGAGAGAAGAACATTAAGTTAATCTTTTATAATCTCTATTTGAAGGGTGGTGGAGTTGGGAAATAGGCCAACAACTTATTTTTAATAAAGGAGGATGCATAAGATTGCTAAAGTTTTTAAAGAAAGCACTTTAAGAAAATACGATATAATACAACCAAAGAACAAGTGAGATCAGTTAAAAAAGGATTGGAAAATTTGAAAGGATTTAAAGTGAGGATCAACAGACTTGAGTTAGGATCCCATAATACGAACGATTGATGTGTTTGAAGAATGGTGGGCTGAGAGACTAGAGGTAAAAAAAGTATGGCACTTTTAAAAGAACTTCAAATTTTTCTAGTTCATTTAATTTACATAGACATATCAACTATGAATTAATTTGTAGGTCATGTCAACTGTCAAGAAATTCATGTTTAATGACACTGATTATGAACTTGAAAAAAAATTGGACCTAATGTTTGGTAAAGTCGTGGCAACCAATAATCATTCATGGACACCTAACGAGTGAGTGTACATTAACATAGTTGAGCATGTAGATCCTGAAGAATCATCAGATATAATTGAAGTCCAATGCTAACCCCAACAAAGTTTGATCTACTACTCATGAAAAATGCCATAAATTTAGTAAAAGAAAAAATATGGCGTATTTTCTTAAGAAGTAAAATCACGTAGTTAGTTGTTGCTTGCTTTGCTGAGCCTAGCCCATCACATATAACTTCTATTCAACAAGTTATGAAAACATTTGAAGAAATTGTAGATATTTATGAAGATATGTTTTTGTACTTGTTTTCAATGAAGTTGTTAGAATATCCCACTAGGAGAGATTTCTTTATGCCAATGGTGCCTGAGAGTATGATATTATACTTACATTACATTGATAACAATAGGGATGTATGACTATTATTTTTTATTTGTTATTTATGTTGGACTTATAGAAGTGTAGGAGTTGTTATTTTTCATTTAGTAGTGTTACCGTTTCTAATTATCTTTTCTATATATGGCAATGTTTTTATAGCACATACAAATTCATTTTTTATAAATATAATCCTTTCTAATTCAAGTTATTTATTTGTGTTTGTCATCTTTTAGAATAACAACAATGAATTATAATGTTAGAAAAAGGCATGAAAGAATAACTACAACAGCATTATGCTTAATATATGAGTATTTTAACTCATATATTGCTCACACTACTTACATGACATCTGCATACATTAGTAACAAATCGATTGGGAAATTGCTTGCAGGCCGTTTAACAAGATTTAACAACATATTTTTTTATTAAACATGCTATAATTATCATTATGTTAGAAGAATTGTCCCTAAATTTTGATCTTCATGGCTTCTCTAGCATGAATTCAAGAGAGGTTTTATTAATAACTATATATATATTTTATCACAAATGAATTTATAAGTAAGGCCATAGACCAACATTGATAAAAAAAATAGTAGGAATTTTTTCAGTTGGTTTGATTGCTCTTGTTAGCTTTTCTTGCAGCGTTTTCAAGCCTAAAGCACCTACATTCCAACGTATCCCTATAAAGATTTCACATGAACAATGATATATGACATACTTTAAGGTAGATTTCTATGATAATCATTACCAAAAATTACTTACATGCAATAACTATAATATGTTATTCAAATGACTTAAGATTTAATTGAAGCAATTAATAGAACACATGATAGTGCACGAGTGTCTAACAAGGAAAAAGTTTCATACATTGGAATTGTAGTTCACTAACATAAAATGTTATGGTTGCATATGATTTCAAAATATGTTTCACTTTTGTAATTGTCAGATAAGAAGACAGTGCACATGATACTCGTATATTCAAATTTTCTGCACAAAGTAATCAATACTACATTTTGAAGCCGCCTTTAGGTTTACTTTAATATATGTAAAGTAAACAATTTTTTTAAAATAATACTGATGGTTATAGTTATAGTAGAGAAATATTATTTGGTTAATGTTGAATATCCTTTACAAAGAGGGTATATGAAATCATTTCCTGAAACAAAATATCACATTCTTGATTGTAAAAGAGGTAGCAATATTTTTTGGTGCATAAAGTATTTAATAAATGACACTAATCTTTACGTGATGTTATTGAGAGGACATTTAGGGTTTCAAAAAAACTAAGTTATTCTATGAGTTATGCCAACATATCCTTTCAAAAAATTAGTAAAAATGTAGTCGCTAAAAGTCTCTCCATAATTTCATTTATTGGTATGCTCCATGTAATGAAATTGATTTTAGTAGTGTAGATGAAAATCATTCACATATCCTTCCTAAAGAATAGAAATATTTTCTAGGAAGGTTAATTTTATAAGCTGATTGTTACATAATAGTTCCATACACAAGATGTGGAAGGTGTTGAAAGGATAATTGAGTTCAGAGAGAAAATTACAAATGCATTGGTTAATGAGTAAAAATGATATTGGATCTCACTTTCTTTTTATTTATAATTTATTGTGAGAATGTTTAAATTTTATTGTGATGGTTTTGATGCAGTGATGTTCATGTGGAAGCTCTTCATTTGTTGCAATTTTTTTTCATTCCTTCAAAATGTATTTTGCCTCGCGTGGTTGTCCACTTAGGACACCGTGAGTGCTATATATGAGTTTTATTTATTATTTTTGCATGATCTTTTTTTTTTTGTGGTCTTAGATGAGATATATAACCTTAGGGGTTGTTATTGATGTCCTTTAAGATATTATGGGGTTTTACATGAGTGAAATTGTCATCAAGGCAACCCAGATCCTCAAATTTTTCAGTGGCATGACAGTTTGAGTTCTTTTGGAGAGTCTTTATGGTTTAACACACACAGGTGACGTATATGAGCTCAATATTACATGGCAG